AGATTTTTGCTATCTGTAAAGCCCCAACTAGTTCTTCCGATAAGAGTACGAGATCTATGCGAGATTTCGAAGCTTTCATTATTTGACTTTTCCTAAAACATGTAAAAGTTCGTCTTGTTGGGAAAAAACGTCTGTATGCATCAAAGAGTTTAAAAGACTGACACATTCCTTCTATTATTTCCTCATCCTTCTCTATGTATGATGGACAAGATGAAGGGATCTGCCATCGGTCTAAATGTCTATTCGGAGCTGCATTGAAATCCCCTGCCATCACTACTGGGATGCCCTCAGGAAGACGATCCATTAGAGATTCAAAAAAACGACCTCTGTCACTTACCTCATTAGGGGCATATACACACAAGATTGTCACCACTTCGATCTTCAGCATAGCCAAGAGGAATACACATCTTCCTTCCTCCTTGTCTACTTCCCAGTAGAGGGGATCGATTCTTGAATCAGTGGGAAGCCAGATTGCTACTCTTGCGCTACTTGGTCTGGGGGCATGTGCCCTGAAGGCCCTATGGGGCCAGATTTGTTTGTGTGTGTGATGATGGTCTGCAGTATCCATCAGGTGCGTTTCTTGTATACAAATGACGTCCGGCCATTCCCTACCCCTCACTCCTCTCAATTGTTCATAGATTGCCTGGCGTTTTTGTTGTTTGGCCGAAGCCAATCCATTCACATTGAGTGACCGAAGGTCTAGATCAGTCATTCTTTTCAGGAGTCTCCAGTCCTTATTCCTGTTATATAGCACCTCTAGTACATTAATATTATCCTTTGTTGATTTTCCTATTTGTTGAGGATGGAGTGACTCACAGGGTCAACCAGTGACCGGAATCCAGCTTACCTCCTTGCTCCAATAGCGATTTGTCGTTCTTTATGAGGTGAGAAAGTAGGATTGTGACATCAATGTCAGTCCAGTAGTCTCCTGCCTTGACCTTCAGTTGCTGTAGCTCTGCCAGTGTGTCTTGCGTGAACCAACGCAAATTTACTGTTCGTGTGTGCTCGTATCTAAGGAAAACACCTCTGGCAGAGATCCTATGAGTGTCTGTAGAAAGGATAAGCACATTCGCTCCTCCAGGTGGGAGCTGTGCTTGAATAATTTTAACAATTTCTGCTTTGAATCGGGCTTCCCTTGACATTTTACCAATCTGGGATGAGAGCAGGGCCACTGACGTTCCGTGCACTGTGACATCTCCATGGGCTAATCCTGGTGGCTCTGACAGACCAACCTCCCAAATGCCTTCTCTCAATCTGACTACCAGGATTAGTATCCCTGGTTTAGATAGTGACAGATCTGCATGACCCCCTGCGACCAAGAGACGTAACTTTTGCCTTCTACTCATCAGTGCTCCCTCATGGGGGGATATTGGTGGCAGCGGATACCGTTTCTGTATTGTTAGTGCCACCCGTTTTTCCAGCTTCTGAGGATCACTTTCCTCTTCTGATTCAGAAGTCCTACTTGTTGTGGGCTGGTTTACCACATCCTCCTTCCGTAGCTCTACAGCCCTGGTGGAGGATGTTTTACTCGGAACCGGATGGTTATTGGAGGAACCATTCCTGGTTCCGACACTTTCCTCATTTAGCTTGTCAGTTGGGAATGGGGGAAGGGGGTCTATGCCAGATGATGCTTGGGCCTCTTCACCTGTGCACCCTCTTCTATTACCCCTTTCTGTTGCATCTTACTAGAGTCTTTCACAAATTGGGTTAGTAGCAGGAACTTACGTTCTCTTGTCAGCCCTGAGACCACTTGTTTGAGCTGGTACATTACTTCATTTTTAACTGCGCATCGCGGGGGTCCATCCTCGTCAGCGGCATCCCAATTTAGACTCCCTTCCCCACTTCCTTCCATCTCCTCCCCCATGCCCTTGTCCCTTTTCTTTTCGGTTTCGTCCTCGGGGCCCCTCATGTTGTGATTTATTACCACTGACTGTTTGATTTGTTCCTCTGTGTGTTTGACCTGTGATCTCCGAGTATCCGTACCCAGGCCAGTTCCCTGTATACTGACTCCGTTTTGTGGGAAGACTGCGCTCATTTGGGGCTCCGTTTCCAGTTCCAGCTGGGCGTCTGGTCCTATCTCCCGCCTGGTGTCGGTGGCACGTGTTCCTTGACTGGGCACATACGGGCTTTCTGCTTGTTCTAGATCCAGTACTGCACGAGTAAAGATGATAGTTTCGTCCTCTGGGACTGTGTTTTGTTGTGTACTCTCCAATGGGACTGTTGTATCCTTCCCTCGAACCGAGTCATGTCTGTCCTTCAGGCCCGTCTGAACTGGGACTCCCCTAGTGTCTTTGTCCACTGGGACTGGGTTCTGCTGAGTATTTCCCAGCGGGACTACGGCGTCCTTTCCTCTGCCTGAGTCCTGCCTGCCATTCAGATCTGTCTGGTCTGGATCTCTTGGGGGTTGGAATCTCAGTGCCACTATGGGTAGCAGGCGGAGGCACATTTGTTGCCAGCTTACCTCTCGTGGAAGTCCTTGTTCCAATGTCGTCCACAGGCTTGTGCTATTTTTTAGTAGAGAGACCAGTTGCACGTATGTATCGTCCCAAAATTCCTCCGAACGGCGTTGGAATTTTCGTCTGAGACTTTCCAGGAGCCATTCCGCTATATTTTGAAGATTTGTTGCTTCCTCCTTCATGCATGTTTGCTCTGGGTCAGAGTTGGTGGTCCTTTCTGGAGGAGGGGGGCCGCCCGGGGCTGGTTCTATCTCCATTGGTTGTGGATCAAACACCACTTTCAGCGGGTCCAAATTCATTGGTTCTGGGCCTGGTTCTGTGTTTGATTGGTCCAATGAGGCTGCTGGCTCAGCACTTTTCCTTTTGCCTTTATTGGATCCCTTCTGTTGATCCAGAATTGATGGCTGTTGACTTTTAGATTCCCTTTTTCGGCCATCCTCCTCCCCCCTTCGTTACTCAATGGGGCAAAACGGTTACCAGTTGGAATATAGGCGCTTGCATTTGGTCCGATGCGAGACTCATTCCATTTTTTCTTTGCTGACTCATTTTTGTTCTTGATCCCACTCCCCTCTCCTCCTATCTCGTCTCCCGGAGGGGGGGGAGGGGGAGGGGGGGGTGGTTTTGTTTTGGGGGGCTGCTGTATCCGAGAGGTCCAGAAGGCTGTTGCAGTGGGGGTTTCCAGTCTGCAGGCGGTCTTGATGTCCGTCTTGGGTCACCCCTTCCTTCCCAAATCCAGCCACTGGGTTGGCCACCTGGCGCCATCTCTTCCACATACACCCATCCCTCGTATCCTGGTGAACTGGGGAGCCATTTGTTCGCACAGAGAGGGTCTCTCTTCGATGCCCCTTCCATACCAGCAGCCTGTTGAGGATGTTGGGGGCAGGCCAATTCGGTACTGAGGTGGCCATAGGCTCTGCACTTATAGCACCAAGGTCTGAACTTGTGTGCTATATGAATTTGATACAACCTTCCCCCCATTTTGAAAGGAATAATATCATCAAGGGAGAAGGGTTGGTCCTTGTGAAGGTCCAGCGCCACCATCACGTAGTCGTCCCTCTTTGCCACATACGTCGGTAGCGGGTCTATAAAGTCAACTATCATGTATTGCTGTCCAAAGTCGTGAATGAAGGTCGCTTGAACCTCCACTGGGATATGTCTTATTTCTACCCAGTAATAATCTTTCATTAGTTGGTGCCTTTTTTCCTCGGGGCCGATCTGAAGACCGTGGGTGACAACAGTTGGATCAGGAAGAATTCCTGGACTGCCTCTGGCCATCTTTTATCAATTCCAACTTCTTGCAAATCCATCTAATTTTGTCGTTAACCGATCTGTACGCGCAGTTATCGTAAAAAATCCAATTACTAGCGTGTTTCGTATGGTTTGTAATGTTGGCATTGAAGGATCCTGTGGAATAATGTTGACTGAAGAAATTTCCGGCTGGTTACCTTGTACACGCTCCCCCCAAAGCGAGAAGACTAGACTCTGTCCTTCAATGTTTGCTATATTGCCCTTCGCTAGAACGTTCTCCTCGACTCTGTCTTGGTACTTCTTTGCTTTGCTTCGGCCTCATCAGCTGTCATCGTTGATTTAACTATGTGCCACAGGACCCAGACCAGCTAAATATGAGTCTGCTACATCCCCCCCCATAATAAGAGAACGGCCCTTGCTGCCTCCAAGGCTCCAACCCAAAGGCAACTGCAGGCAAAATGCTGGCAATGCACAAATACTGGGAAAGGTTTTTCATGGATTGCTGCTGGCCCCATAGAGGGCTGCTTTCAAGTTATGAAGTCTGGTTCTATAGGGAAACTGCTCCCTGAGCTTCGTCGGTTGGACCTGTCATCTTTGCAAAATACCCCTACCGGGTGCTGTCCATGTTTGCAAAATGTCCACGTACTTGCCAACTTTTCCCAGGCCCTATGTATTTTCGTTTTACCCCTGGTGGCCCAGGTGATCTTTGTGTTTTGCCCCCTCGCTGTGTGTGCCTGCCTCTGTGTGTGTGTGTGTGTGTGTGTGTGTTGTTGTGTGTGTGTGTGTGTGTGTGTGTGTGTGTGTGTGTGTGTGTGTGTGTGTGTGTGTGTGTG